CCTCTTGGGGGTCTCCTTGGAGCTTCTTGGAAGCCTCCTGGGCGCCTCTTGGGGCCTCCTGGGCGCCTCTCGAGGCCCTTTCGAGGCGCTCCGGGGGGCCTCGGGGGCGCCCTCGAGGCCATCGTGGAGGCCGCGGCTCAGACAGGAGCCCGGCGTCAATAGGATCCCCCCCAAGAGGGCAACATGGGGCCACGGCCCTGGTGCGACCAAGATATCGGGCGCTTTGACGACCCGTTCCTCCGCGCCCAGGGGGGGGGGGCGGGGGGAAGGGGCGAGCCCGCCCCCGAAGAGGAAGAGGGGGGTTGGACAGAGGGGCTTTGTAAACCGCTCACGTCCTACAGGGCTGGTGGGATTAGGCCTGCGCCGCCGCCGAAACATCGCCATCTTCCGCCGCTGTAGATACCGGCGCGCCGAGCCAATCCGCGGAGAGACGGGGGACCGCCGCGGGCGCATCGCCGTCCTGGGCGCCAGGCGGCCGCGGCAATGAACTCTCGAGCTTCCCCATCTACGTCTCCGCGTCCAGAGGCAACTCTCGAGGTTTGCCATGCTGCGCTGTAGCCTCCGCCAAGACTTTCTGAGAAGCGCGCGCCTCGTCACTTGCCTGGGAAGCGTCCGAGTAGTCCTTCCGCCTTCAGCTTCTGCGGCCGAAATCTGTTTGGCAGAGCGCGCGCACGCGCGCGTGGCGGCTCGGCCGCGCGCGCGTCCGCGCGCGGCCGTTCGAGATTCGCAGATTGCAACTGGCGTTGAGCAACGGCCCGCTCGCTCGGAAAGGCTTTAGCGCGTCCAGGTCAGCATCGCTGGGGTTTGGTATCCTAGAGCTTTCGATTGGGCATTTTCACAGCCGGGTGGAGTCCGCAGCGCCTGCCGCGCCGCCCACCTCCATGGCAGTGGGCAGCAACTTGGAAGCATCCCCAGCGCCAGATTTGGCGCCGCGCAGCTCCGCAATCTCATTCCGCAACAGCTGGGCGAGCTCAGCGCGGCATTCAGAAGATCCACCTGAAACGCGCGCAGGACCTGCGCCAGCTCCACGTCGGCCCCGCGTTTGCCTTGGAGACGCCCCCCCCTCGCCACGCGGAAGGCGGGCATTTGACATTGGAGCTCCAGTTGATGAGCGGCTTGTCCGACCCGGGGTGAACGCAATCTCTGCAGCGCTAATCCCTCCGCCACGCGTTTCTTCCACCACCGCCCGCGGCGCCCCCCGCTCGACTTCGGGGGCCTCCAGCGGGCGAATGTCGGGGCGCTGCGTCGGGCCGAGACAGCTGACGAGGAGGCGCGCCCGGTCAGACATCGCAGGGCGGCAGGGAACATGGCGGCGACCGTCGGGCCGGCGCGCCAGACCGGAGACGCCGTTGCCCAGTTGCCCGCGCCAGCGCGTTGGAGCACCGCGGCGACCGTGGCGTGCGCAGTGGGCGAAATCGAGAGCCGCGCGTGCTCGGTGCCCCACGGTCTGTTAACTGGCACCGACGCCCTGAATCCTTTTGGTGGCTTTAGAACGCGGTCTCCGCCGACGCTCCAGGCGTTGCCCACGGCCGAGCCCCCGCCAGGGGCCACGCCGAAGTTGCCGCCGAAGGAACCCACGGGGGCTGCGCCGACATCCAACGCGAGATCTTCGCCCAAGACCGCGCCCGAGGAAATCGTGGAAAGGCCGGGGTTACGGGCGTCATCCAGGGCCTCGAGCTCCGGGCTGCCCATCCAGCCAGCACCTAAACCCAGAAGCTGCCGCCGCCTGTTCGATCGGGCGAGGCGTCGGGGGCGAGTCCGAGCGGGGCTGCTCAATTAATGGAATCTCTGACGAGTGCAGGTTTCGTTCCCGCGGCTGGTCGCTCGTCTGGCGGGGGCGCAGCCGTCGGGTCGGGAATTTACCAAGTGAACCCAAGGCTGGCGTGCCCAAGGCCGGGTTGCCGAAGGCAGGGGAGTCCCGGGCCCCTCGCCGGCGGGCGCGGCGCGACCGCCGCCCCTGCGAGCGCCGCCCCGTCTCCGCGCTCGCATCTTCGTCGATCGCCGCAAGCGGCCGCAGTTATGTGCGGAGAGGGTCAGGGGCCAAGGCGGTGAGCAGCACGGCCCCCATTCCGCTTTTGCCCCGACCGACTACGCGTGGCTTATCCAATCGGTTTGTAAGTTTTGGCGGAGCCACTGCGGCGCGTGGACCCGCGATGGCGCTGGTCGGGAGTTGCAGGGCCCAAAGGGGGAAGTTGCCCTTGAGGTTGACATTGGATTGCCGCTCCAGCTTCCAGTTCCGTTATGGCGACGCGCATAAACCGTTGCCGCTGGCGAATCTGCCATCTGCGCGGGGGGGCGATTTACCCGGCTGCCGATTTGTTGCGCATGGCGCGCTGCTTGGCCGGGTCGGCCACTTTCAAGCTGAGTTGCACTGGGGCCATCGCCCTCCGTTCAACCCGAGTCACCTCGACGCTGCGTTCGCCGAGCTGAAGCGTGGTTACCCATGCCCCGACCCAGACGTACCTACAATTCAGGCGTTTATCCAATCGTGTCCAAACATGCGGGGGCGCGAGCTACTGTCTGTCGTTTTGTGGGCTTGCACTTGTAAGCCAATGGTGCTCTCTCACCAAAGTTAAAGCAGTTATTCTAAATAATCTTGTCGTGGCCACAGCACGGGCACCGTTGCCACGCGACTCGCCGCTGAAGAGTCTGTTTAATGTTGCATCAAGCTCGCTGACGGGCTCTTTTTCTCGCGCGATCAGCACGAGGTGATCGCCGGATTCAACGGGAGCGAGCTGTGAACGCCAGGGCCAGCCCCGGTTATCTGTTGACACCCTACCAATTTCAAGGTGCAAATATCCACCAACCACAAAGTGATTGACAACCGTGACCGCGCGTTCTTGATTACAGGCGCGCGCCGCAGTTCCATCTTCCGCGAAGAAGCGGTGCGCTGGCAGGCTTGGCTGCCAGCCCTTGATTGCAACTGCTGGGTCACTGGAGGTCGCTTGATCGCAGGCCCGAGCGCAGGCGCTGAGTTACTGCGCGCGAGGGGGTTTAACCGTGCGTTCCCAAATTTACATGGCGACCCAGACCGCGCCCTCCGGGAAGCTGTGGGTCGCTTGGGTGACATCGTGGACCGCAGTGTTAAAGACATCAGACAGGACGAGGACGGGTGCCTGAAAAACGGCAACGAGCACGATGTGGTCTATCGGTCAAACGTCTTCGATGAGACGGACCGTTGCCCGGTCTTTCGCTCTGGCAACGCCCCAGAGTAGGCGCGCTATCGGGGAGGTCGGGCGGCCGCGCTGGCTAGGTCGGTTAGCCGCCGCCATTGCTGCCAGGTGATCGTTTACCCGTTACTTACAGCAGAGGCTGTTGCCATTGTTTGCGCAGCTTTGCGCTCTGCTGCGCGCGATGAGAATGTGCATCGCGTGTCAGGAGGCCCCATGCACGTTTGCGCCAAACGTCTTTGCCACCATCTTTCTGTGCAGGTTTCTGCGTGACTAACTCATATAGACTTTGGTTGAGTTGGAGACTCGGCAAACCACATCCTGATTTCGTTCGCCGTCATCAGGTTCGTCGCTAGAAGCGCCCCCTCGCTGCTTTCATCGGCCATGCTGGCCGAGGGGGTGTAAGAACATAGCTGAGCGACTGCGCGAGGATCTCAGCATCATGCGTGCGCCGAACGGTTGTTGTTACCAACGCAGTTTGGCTCACTCCCGGCCGTGGATTTGCATCGCTTTGTTCAGAGCGTCTCCCCCCCTCGGGTCGGCCGCAACTGCTTGCGTTGGCGTTGAAGTCTTTTTTCGAGCTGCGACGCCTGAGGTATATGATGGCAACTGTCGGAAGCCACGTTCTGGCCGCCCTTCAGTTCATCGGGCCCGCGATTCAGCCTGCGCTCTCTCTCCTGCGCTGCGACGAGCTGTTATTTGGGCTCGCCGCACATCTTCGCGGGCGCCACTTTCATCCATGGAGTGCTCGTCGGGATAGTTCTCGCGCCCTGCTGCTGGGGGCGAGATGCCCGCGATGGCGCTGGCTGGAAGGCGCGCGCGCCTCGGGTGCGCGGTCGCCGCGAGGAACCCGAACGACGGGCGGACCTGGCACATGAGGCTCCTCCTCGAGCCCTGCGACGCTGTCGCGCTGGAGAGGATCACGGGCGAGGCGCCCGACGAGCCGGTCGCCGAGATGTTTTGGATCATGAGTCCCACGAGGGGCGCGTGCCCCGAAGAGTTCAGTTGCCCACCCTAGATTGGGGTCGCGCCGTGCCAGCTGGGCGGGTGCTCGGTCCGCGAGCAGGGGGTCAGATATTCGAGCATGGACACGCCGTGACGCTAGCGCAGAGCGAGCAAGTTCGAGCAGCGCGTCGGGCTCAGAACCAGCAAACGGATTCCGGCTCTGGACGCTGACCGGGGCCTTGTGGCTGCGGGTGCTGCCGCCCTTGTCGCGGCAAGTGGGGCGCCGGCCGCGGGCGTCGCTCTGGCGGGCGCGGCAGCAGGGGCAGCCTTTGCACCCCCGCTGCTGCCGCCGCCGACGGCAGCCCCGCAGTCTCCGGTGGACGCCGCCGCCCTCGAGCTGGGCAAGGACTTGAAGCTGGTGTTTGGCGAGGGCGAGCTTCCCGCGGCGGTCAGGGAGCGGTGCTCCACCTCGGCGAAGAAGGAGGAGACCCGACGACATCGGTTTTGGCGGTCAGCGGCGACGTGGGCATCTTGGCCAACGACGGCGTGGTGTCGGTCATCGACATGGGCGTCGACAGCGTCCGCGCACTGCTCAAAGGCGACGGGGTCGACGGCGACGACGAGGTGGAGCTGGACCTCTTCGTCGAGGAGATAACGAGGAACCGTCCCGGCACGAGGTTCAAGGACTTCAAAGTCGCGGTGGGCCGTGCTAATATGACGGCTTGGGTTTAATGGCCTTTGACGGGCCCGCGCGCGGCAAAATGGTGCCTCAACTTCATCTTATAGACCAATGGCCACCCTCAAGCTAGGCACAGCTGGTGGGGGCCTCCTTGTGTCCTGTCTACAGCCGCCCCTGGAGTTTCACATCGCGGGGCGGCCGTGAAGGCCGTCGAGTATGCTCTCACGCGCTACCGGGCCAATGCCGCGGAACTCGCGGTGATCGAGTTGCTTCTGCGTCGAGCGCAGCTGGCGGAGTGCCGCTGCCAGCGTCGTCTGCTGAGGGCCGACGGCCAGCTGGACAGCATCCTGCAGGGCAAGTTCTTGTGCCTTGGCATTGGCGAGGCGAGGGGGCAGCTCATGCTGCGCCCTCCTCTCGAGGAGCACGCGGCGGCCCAGCTCCACTGGGGGGGCGCCGTCGCGAAGGGGGCGCGCAAGCTGCAGCAGGAAAGGCGCTAACAGCGCTTGAGTGCTGTCCAGTAGCCGCGCGTCCACCAGCGGCCGCGGCCGATCGTCGACGCCGCCGCCGCGCTGCTAGGGGCGAACTCTGGCGAGGGCAAGGGCAAGGCAGAGCGGCCAGCGTGGCGGCCAGCGGCTAGCCGGCTACAGGCGGCTGGTCGCCCGCCCAGTCGCCGATGTCAGGGCCATGCCGGTGGGCCGCGAGCTTTTCGGATGGCGTCGCCAGTCCTCCAGGAAGGTCAATGTTTGTCTCAGCTGTCAGGGCGTAGAGCCGTCCGTCGTCGCGCTCGGGCCCGGCGTCATGGGCGAAGTTGGGTTAATTCGGCAGTGGATTGCTTCGGCGAGATTCACGGGCACACTCTTAAGCCCCCGCCAGGTCTCGACATTTCAGAGGCTCAGAGACGCAGTGCAAGCCTGCTGATCGACGTCTACCGTAACTTACCACCGCCCGCCGTCTTTCACCGCCACGCAAACCCTCCAGGAGCTTGGCGGCAGCCGTCAGGGATGCTCCGACAGTGATCTTGGGCGCAACTTCCAATCTGACCTTGTCTCTTTGCCCGCTTGGGGTGGGCTGGCCGATGGCGAGCAGGTGCTGTCTGACCTGGGCTTTGAATGTTGGAGGTTTATGTCGACGGATTTGCGACGTGAAATCGGCTCTGGTACTCCCTCAACATCCAGCATTTAACCTTGCAGTCCTCCTTGCCTGACCAGAGACCAGGCAAAGTACGCCAGTTTTTTTTTAGATGCTGCGCGCCGACTTCATTGCGCTCAGGCCGGAGAAGGAAGCCATTGCCGGCATCTTCTTCGTGGCCAGGAAGGATTGTCGCTTGAGCGTGATACTGGGCGCCAGAGCAGCGAATGACATGTTTAAAGGGGCCTGCCCGCTCTCCCATGTCTACGCCCGCGTCGTGGGCATCGGTCGAGATAGGGGTCGAGGGCGATCTCGCGCTGTCCCAGATAGAAGTGGGCAATGCGTTTCAGGGTTGCAAGGCGTAGCCAGGGGTCGCCCTGCCAAAGGCATCGGCGCGGCAGCTGATGAAGCGGGACTCTGCCCGGTGCTCGAACCGCGGGTTGCCGAGCGACGGCAGCGTCAGCCCACGTCTCGAGGTGATGGCGATCGGGCGGTCCTGGGCGCTCCACTTCTGCCGGGCCACGGTCGCGGCCAGCGCCGCGCGGGCTGGCGCGCCGCCGGGCGCCTTCTGCTCGACAAGCGGGTGGCCCCCAACGTGCAGAGCGACAACTTCGGCGCCGCCGTCTACGTGGACAACGCGGGCGCGGTCGGCGCCGACGACTGGATTGCGCGCGGCGCGGCGGCGAAGCAGCTGTGCGACTGGCTATAGCCGCCGACGGGTTGCAGCGCAAGAAGTTACAGTACGGGCTTTGGGAGGCGCAGTTCACTGGCATGACGTCGGATCGCAGCTCTGCGCGCATTTCGGTCGGGCACAGACGGTGCTGGAAGGGGCGTCTCGCCATCCTGGCCATCTTCGCGGACGGTTGCGCCTCGTTGGAGTTGTTGCACCGCGTGATCGGCCAGCGCGCTTGGTCTGCCATCCTACGCCGCTGCCTCTTGTGCACGCATCATGCAGTCTACATGTTCATCGACCGTGCCGGAACCAACCGCATCAGGCTTTGGCCAGTGGTCGAGAAAGAGTTGCGGTGGATGATTGTCTTGCTGCCGCTGGCTTACGCCGACTCCAAGCGGCCGTGGTCCACTGCCGTTTCAGCGTCCGACTCTGTTGGCGCCAACGCCATTGACAACGGAGGTTTCGGCGTGGTTGCCGGGGCGTACCCCTCAGCCGCGGTCAGATCGTGGGGGCGCCAGAGTGAGAGATGGCGTTGCGCTGTGGAGGGCGCCGTCGCTGTTCGCCAGCGCGCCTTGCGTGGGGGTGGCGCCTTGGATGATAATTCGACGCCCGGGGCTGAACTCCCACCTGGCGAGTTCCTGAGTTTGTTGACATCACGCGGGGCGACGTCGGTGGCTTTTCGAAGTGGGGCTTGAAAGTTAGGTGCTGTTGGCGTCGGGCTGAGGGCATCATTTCATCAGGAGGCCGCGCTACAGTTATCGCTGCCAGAAATCGCATGCGATCTTTGCGTCAGTTCTCATATTCGCACATATTTTCCGATTATGATATGGGCTTCATTTCAGTGAAGGGCAGGGGTGGGGCCACCAACGCGGTCATCAACAGTCACTGTCGTGAGCTGGCCGGTTTGGTCTTTCGTCAGACTCGGATTTCATTTCTCGTTGGATACCCTCGGGGTTCAACCCGACCGACGCCGCTTCGAGGCTCGAAGACGGCCATTTGGTTAGCAGCGACGGTTTCGACCCGCGCGATGCCCGCCCTGGGCAGCCAGAGGTGCTGCGGCGCGCGAAACACGGCTTCGAAGACTGCGAGGGCGACGAGGGCTCCAGCGGCGGCTTAGACGAGGACCCTGACGGCTGCTTCAGTTTGTCCCTTACCTGCGAAGAGGCCGGTGGAGGACGCCGAGCGTGGCCTCGCTCGGACCCAACGGGCCAAGCTGGCGAAGTTCCGTCAGGCGGCACACGCGGCGGAGGCGCGCCAGGCCCAGAGCTACGGCCAGCACTTCGTGTTGGTAAACCGTGTGACTCGGCCATCGGGTTTGATGTGCGACCGGTACTTCAAGGACTTCCAGAAGTGGGCCACGGATAACGGCATGGAGCTCGACACCAACGAGGACATCGATCAGACAGTGACGGGGTGCTTGGAGGACCTGTACTTCCAGGGGCGCAAATACGACTCAGGGGAGAAGATCATTGCAGCACTGGAGTACCGCATTCCGTGCATCAGGAGCAATCGCGTGCTGGCCCGTTCCAAGCTGGCGTTGAAAGGTTTCAGGCGCCTGGCCCCTGGGCTCAGCCGGGTTCAACTGCCTTGGGCTGCCCTATGTGCGCTGGTGGGCGCGGCCGTGTTCCTGGGCCACTTGAATTTTGCGGAGTGCCTCATCTTCCCCATCTGGACGTACTTCTGCCCCAGCGAGCGCCTGGGGCTGCGGGCGAACCTGCCCATGGCTCCGACGAAGGGCTCAGGCACGTCCCCTCGGGCGCTATTGCTGGCGCCCGAGGGGGGCGCCATCCCGCCCAAGACCAAGGAGCTCGACGAGAGCCTGCTGCTCGACGGGCTCGATCTGGTGATGCTCTACCCCCGCTTTGAGGCGCTCAAGCGGCGGTCAGGCGAGGCCCAGGTCTGGTCTTTCGATTATCTGAAGGTCTCGAGTCTTTTCAGGAGGGTCGCGGAAGTGGCGGGCCTATGGGGGGCCCATTTGCACCCGCGCATGATGCGACGCGGCGGGGCCAGCGACGACGCGCTGCGCCGCGCCCGCGACGCCCTCGGGATCAGGCGGCGCGGTCGCTAGGCAGCGGACTCGTCGGCGAGGAGGTGCGACAAACACGCTCGAGTTCAGAAGTCCCTGGAAAGCATTCCTGCCGACGCAAGGGATTGCGGCAACGTCGTCGCCGTCCGATTGGCCAGTGTGCGTTGAGCAATCTGTCGGCGCCAGGCGCGAAGTCAAAGAAACTGATGTTCGTAATGTAGATGGCGGGTTCACGGAGGCCGCGGCGATCATGGCGCGGGGTTGGACGGGCGTCTTCTCGCCCATGAGATGCGCCGTCAACTTCGGCGCGCGCGGCGCGCCGCCGTTGCCGATGTTCACGATGGAAAAGGCATAGTTTGATTGACTCAGGTTTTGAGGGCGTGGCCGAACAGTTCCAGCTGCAGGGCGAGGCGTGCGTCCGTTGTGGCCCCTTGAGAGGCCCCCGACGCGCCCTGACCAATCCTGTCCTTCTACATGCTGTCTTCGGCTGGGTCCGCGGCCGCAAAATCAATGGCATCTCTGCGGCATTTCTGTGCAGTTGCTGGACCCCTGCCCTCTTTAAGCACATTCGTAGCGAACGGTGTCCGCACGGGATCCCGGACGCCGCCCCCGCAGAGCAGGCCCACATCGATTCTGGCAGTCGCACGTTCGGCTCCATTCGCAGAATAACCCGGTCGTGCAATCGAAATGTCACCCCTATCCTCGTAGAAAACCGCCGCGCTTCGCAAGCGTAGAGAGAGCCCATGATGGCCGCCCTACATGCCCATGTGTCTTGTAAGTGTGCGTCTGGGGCCCGCTGGCGCTAACGGACCCGCTTCGTCGGCTGGCGCATTCCTCAGCTCCGCAATCAGAACGTTTTGTGTTTCGGCCACGGCTCGCGCCACTTCCGTCAGAAACTTTGCATCGTCTTCAAAGGCAAAGTGCTTGGCAGCAGCATTATCTACACCGCCATCGCGGCCGCCTGCCCGAAGCGCTTGTGCAATTCGCACAATGGCTGTCCAGATCTTCGGAGGCAATTCGCGGGGCGATCATATTCTTGTGCGGGTCTTTTCAATGCCTCAGGCGGCTCCAGAGCATTGCATGGGCCTGGGATTGCATGTCGAGCGGCCTCTGCGAGGCCCATTCGAAGTCGGGCCTGGGCGACCCGGGCCCCTCCGAGTTTCGCCCCTAACATGTGGATGAGTTGATTCGCCAAGCAGATCGTTCAGACAGAGACTGGACGCAAAAAAGGTTGCGACCGCCGCGTGCTGTGCATAGGCTGTCGCCCTTTCCGTCTGGCCTTGGATTGGGGGAGATGCTTCGGTTCTCAGAACGTCTCTCTCCCTCGGGTCGGCCGCAGCTGCTTGGACTCGAGTCTTTTCCGCCCCGCCATCCCCGCCGCCGCCTCCCTGTCGGCGCAGGGGGTCGCATGTCGAGCGGCCCTTGGGAGGCCCATTCGAAGTCGGGCCTGGGCGATCCGGGCCCCTTTGCGAGCGCGCCCCTAAGATGTGAAGGAACCGATTCGCCAAGCAGATAGTTCAGACAGAGATAGGAAGACAAGCTGCGACCGCCGTGTAATATGCATACTCAGACTGTCGCCTTTTCCATCTGGCCCTGGGGTGAGGGAGACTTACTTCGTGGCCCACCATCGTCCCCGTCCCCATTCAGAATTTGCGGGGGAAGG